ATAAATTGGATTTAATTCTCTTGTAAGTTTATCTTCTTTACCGTATCTTGGTGTAGAGAGAAAAGAAGAGAGAGCAAGGAAGTGAGAGATCACTCTTGTAAGTTGAGACAATCGAATGGTGCATATTTCTCAAGTAGTAAAATCCTCTGCAACTCTGTGGACGTAGGCAGTTTGTCGGACCACGTAAATCTGTGTATTTTGTTGTGTTACTATTTTCTGGTGTAAATTTTCTTGTTCTATTTTTCTTTTCATCATCAAAGATCAATCTTATACACACACACACACACACACCACAACAACTAGTATCAAAGCCCGTGGTTTCAGATCTGAGAAAAAAAAGATGACTACATATGAATTGAATGTTTTAGGGATCGAAAAGTTTGATAACAAAAATTTTGGTTACTGGAGGATGCAGATAGAGGGTTACCTCTATGGGAAGAAACTTCATCTTCTGTTATTGGGGAAAAGATTGAAAATGATTTTATGAGGCTGAATGGAATCGGTTGGATCGACATGTTATAGGGGTTATTCGATTGACCCTTTTGAGGTTCGTTGCACACAACATCGTCAAGGAAAGGACGATTGTAAATCTCATGATAGTTTTATCATGTATGTATAAAAAGCCATAGGCGAATAGCAAGTTGTACTTGATGAAATAGTTATCCAATTTGAATATGGTGGAAGGTGTTTTTGTTGGTCAACAGCCGAATGATTTCAATACTATCATAAATCAAATATCATCTATTGAAATTGATTTTGATGATGAGATACGTGTGCTAATATTGTTGACATCATTGTCAAATAGTTGGGAAGTCATGAGGATAGCAATTATAGCAATTAACAGTAACAGTTCTGCAAGTAAATTTAAACTGAAAATGATGATATTTGTGATTTGATTTTGGTTGAAGAGGTGCACAAAAAAAGATTCTGACAAGATCTCAGGTACGAGTTTAGCACTGAATATTGATTTCAGAGGGAGATCACAGGACAATGACTCAAATAGAGGGAGATCAAAATCAATGTATGATCAGCATACAACCTGCTGGAATTATGACAAGGCTGGCCACTTAAAGATGAACTACAGGAATCCCAAGAAGATGGAGAATGATAGCGCAAATATGGTATCTGAAGAAGTACAGGATGCACTACTGCTGACAGTTCATAGTTCTATTGATAACTGAATATTGGATTCAGGGGCTTCTTTCCATATAACATTCCATTAATATTCCATCGGAAATTGATGCGAAATTATGTTGTAGGTGACTTTGAGAAAATATATCTGACAGATGAAAAAGCGTTGAATGTGGTAGAGGGTGGGTTCGAGGCACTTATTCATATTGTTCTCCTGATAGATTGCGGAGAATCACAAAGCTATGAAGAAATTTTGAAAGATGAAAATTCAAGCTAGTGGGAGCTGACAAAACTTCCACCAGGGAAGAAGACATTACACAACAAGTGGGTGTACCAGGTGAAGACTAAGCTTGATGTCAGTAAAAGGTGCAAGGCTAGACATGTTAAAAAAGACTTTCAACAGAGGCAGAATATTGCTCATGCAGTAGGAGTTGTAAGCAGAGATAAGAGTAACCCAAAAAATTACTTGAAGGTGAAAGACTATGTGGACCTTGTTGATATGTTAACTAAAGTCGTGAGAAACTGAAGTTGTACACAACTTCAGTTAGTCTTCTGGTGTGAAGACAAGGGCTTTGAGTTGCAGAGTTGGAGTATTCATGTTTGAAGAAAAGGGCTAGGTCGCTAGTGGGAGATACTAGTTTAAGGAAAAAAAAAAAAAAACATTGTAGTTTGTGTAACGGTCTCCAAGTGGGAGATTTGTTATGATGGAGTCTTGTCTATTCCCCCAATCCCGCTCCCAGCTCACGTTCTCGCTCCCTGTTCACGATCGTGGAAAGTCGCGACTTTCCATCGCGAACTGTTCTCGAGATCTGCTGTTCGCGAAAGGTCGCCAACCCCGCCTCCTTTCACGATAAAAGGAGTGGCTCTCCTTCAGCTTACAATACGACCTCTTTTATGTTCTTCTTCGACAGTTTTTCTTTCACGGGACAGATGAAGAGAAGTGCAATGAGTAGTTTCTTGTGACAAAAGAAAGAAGAAAGAATAAGAAGAAGATTGTTCTCCCTTGGCATCTTCTTTGTGGCTTTTAGTAGAAGAGAAATTGGGTTTATTTCTCTTGTAAGTTTTTCTTTTTCGGTGTATCTCGATGTAGAGAAAGAAGAAGAGAGAGCAAGAAAGTGAGAGATCCCTGTTGTAAGTTGAGACGATCAACTGATGTATATTCCTCAAGCAGTAAAATCCTCTACAACTCTGTGAACGTAGACAATTTGTCGAATCACGTAAATCTATGTGTTCCGCTGTGCTACTGCTTTTTGGTGTAAATTTTTTCGTTCAATTTTTTGCTTCGTCACCGATCGTTCTATTTTATTTTATATACCATAACACTACTTAGGTGGTTGTTTAGTGAGCATATGTTGTTTGAGGCTCCCCTGCTGAGACGGGGTGTAAGTCCTTTTGTTAGGAACATTTCCAGCTTTGCATTTAAACCTCATTTTCTCCTCTTTTTTAGCGGCATCTTTGCTTTTTTGACCGTTATAAATCCCACCATTTAGAGCTCCACCTGATAGTCAGAAGATAGAGTTTCATACCTTCGACCTTAGAGCTATTGAGGTTTCCATGGACAATATAATTCATTGATTGCTGACCGAGGATCTAAGTAAATTTAGGGTCCTAGTAGCTTGAGGTGACGGGTCCGTGGTACCTTGACATGACTACCTCTACCTTTTAATCCCTCATCCCTTCCTCTGACTACCCCTGTTGAGTCTCGTATCTCTTTTGTATTAGTTGGTATCATATCGACAACATGATTGTCGATGGGCTATCGTCCGTTTGGGATATGATGATTTATCTCATGCTTTTATGACACAAATGTGCTTTGACGTATTGAGATTCTTTGTCAAGATGATTCAGTTACTTCACAGACTTTGCATGCCGATAAATTCATAAACATGCAAGAGCGTGAGAGACTTACTATTTGCCCCACGGTTTAACAAAAGCTTTGAAAGCATCATAACACTCCCCTGCGAGAAAACCATAATTTGATATCCTGTGGTAGTCGTCACTACTATTGCAAGCAAAACTCCTGGATCAAAAGTATTCTCAGACGTGGGATACATCCCATTTGGAGCACTTTAGGCCCCACAACAGATAAACACAACTGAATCTCTAGTTGTGGGTAGTTTGTGTAAGTATTCTTTCGCAGATATTGGTCAAAGATGCTTTCACCAAATCTTGTTTGGGCGGATATACTTGACTTATCATTGTGAAACTTATTACACGTATGTTCTCCATGTTCTTTCTCTTGTTTGTTGTCTTTGTTGTATGTTCGTGCTTTCCAGTCCCTCCATTCTCCTGATCATTCACATGATCTGAAAGAGAAATTTATTCAGAAAAGAGAAGCACACGACAATGGACAAATTGACGACTAAAAAAAACGAAAAAAGAAACTAAAATAACATCTAAAATTGATGCAAACATCTTGAATAAAGTGACAACATGTAATTTAATTTTTCAGGTGGAAGTAGTTACAAAAAATATTCATTTATACTAATTTCTCCCCTCTTTTTTATTCAATTTTTATAGTCAATTCACAGGTTCTCATATATATTTTTATCTTTTAAACACCATTGGATGTTTTATAAAATCAAACTCCACGAACGATCAAGTCACTTTTTTATGGTAAGCAAACTATCATCTTTACAAGCAAGTTCATAATAAAGAAAATTTACATACACAACACATAATTCTTATATATTTACATATCTAACACCTTAAGTTTAAAAGTTACCTTTATAACACTTTGGTGCAAAAAAAACCCATATATTAAAAGTTGTTTATTTTTAATAAGTTATTAATAAAGATATATTTGACGTGATGTTAAAAAGTTGAATAATATATATGCAAATATAAATACCTTTAGAATTATTTGGACATGTAAATTGTTCTAAAAGAATTTAACATATTTTTAAATATGAAACTTAATTTAATTTAACTTCAATTAAAAAACTTACCATTGACCTATTATTTTGATAATAATTACAAGAATAATAATAAGGGATACATGCATATCATACAAATTTTATATATTTTCATAACTAATATAAAATATAAAATTTATATTTACAACACTTTGAAATCATAAGACTATATATTAAAATATTAATAACACAAATATATTTCGTATAATATTAAAATTTCGAGTGTAATATATATAAACTTAAAAGTGCGTAAGTTATGTAAATACGCATAGGGCTGTCAAAACAGCTCGTTGTTCGTGAGCAGCTCGTGTTCGGCTCGTTCGCTAAGTTAACGAGCTGAACACGAACGGATGAACATCACAAACAAATATTTGTTCGTTCGTGTTCGACCATTTTGACTCGAAATACTACTAAGCAGTTATATATATATATATTGACTACAAGACTATAAAGATTTATAATTAATTAAAAATTTCAATTAAGTAAATAAAATAAAAATTAAATTAGATTCAAATGATGTTTTAAATCTTGCCCTAATCATTAACATCTTATGGCTCGTGATTAGTGTTGTCAAAACGACTCATTGTTTGTGAACGGCTCGCGGGCGGCGACTCTCTAAGTAAATGAGCCAAACAAGAACACACTTTTTGAGCTTGAAATATAAATGAGACGAACATGAGCTGAGCCAGAGCTCGCTCGTGTTCAGCTCGTTTACATCCCTAAATAAGCAAGCATGTCACATGTATATAAATGCCCATAATAATAATAATTTCATAATTTTAAGAATTAATGAAATCATCGTTTGCATTAATTTTTATTTATTCACTAAAAATAATCTATTATCAAAATAAAATTTCATTAAAAACCCATAAAATCTCTGTCCAGCTGCGAACCCGTTGCAGCTGATATGGAGCTTACAGCAGCCACCACGTGTACAATTTTTTCGTCGAGCTAGAAAGTCGGATTTGTTGCTAGCTGTGCGCCTTCTTATTTACTGTTTCCCAGCTCAACGCCTGCTCCGACGGTTCAATCTTTTCCACTTCTGCAATGCTTGATAGCCTTAGATGACCAGATTTATTCTGGCGTTAGGGCGAGGGAAGCGGAAGAGATCGGGATACAAGTCGTCGACCCCGGGCAGACACCAACGTTGGCGGCCGAATCAGGTAGATATCTTGGATCTCACTTCTTTTGATGGGAGATTTCTAGGGTTTTTGCTAGGTTTTAGGTTGTTGTGGTGTTGTTTCGGTTTTCTTGTTTAATTTACCGATTTGCGTTGTTAGCATCTTACATGAATTAATTTGCCGAGCTTGAATTTGTCCGTAGGTTTGATTCTGTGGGGTTCATCGATTAAGATATTGCATGTTTCCCAGATTTCATTGATTCAGTATTCAGGTAGCTTTGACACAAGATTGGTGGATACTGTGGTTAATTTTGTTGTAAAGAGAGTTAAGATTGCAAGACGGATTGTTAGGTGTAGGAGGCAATGATAGTCTCGGAAGTTATGCTGTTTAGACAGGAGAATCTATTCATTCATCTTTCAGATCAGGTTAATAAGTGGTAATAGAAATGTGAGAGATATATACGTTTCAATCAGTAAATATAAAGATGATTTGTGTCACTATATGTTGATTTTTGTAATTCTTTTGCTTAGAATGAATCCGATTTTACATAGACAATTTTCTGGTAATTTTATCGTGCCTATCTTGGTTTGAGGCTCTGGGATCTACTTATAAGATGCTATTCTTGAAGCATGAGGCCACCACAAGGATTTTAAAAAGATATTTAATAGTTGAATATCAACCAGAAATTAATTTGAAGTGAAGCCATATTGAAAGAACGCTGGGAAACTCTGTGACACAATTAAATGTTGAGTAGTGGATGAGTTGTTGATTGCTCATAATTGGGAATGCAGATACCTCTTTTGAGTTGCGTGAAATGATGATGTTGCCCCCAAATTCTCTTAATTCTAAACAGAAAAGGAAGGGGAGGGGAGAAACAGAGTGAAAGTGAAAGAGAGAGAGGGAGAGGGGGGACTAGGGCTATACGGGATGGGGAGGGAGGGAGGGAGTAAAATGGATAAAGGGAGGAGTGGGGAGTGAAAGGGATGAAAATCCCCATTTTATTTTGATGAATAATTTACTATTATGCTATTGGAAAATATTATGCATGTTACGCTAAGAGCTTTATAATACATCAGAGAGAGAGAGAGAGAGAGAGAGAGAGAGATAGAGTGATGAAGTGATTGAGAGAGTGTGCATGTCAAATGAGTATTCAAAGATAGAGAGAGAAAGAAATTATTTTGATGAATAAAATGGATAAAGGGAGGGGTAAGGAGTGAAAGGGATGAAAATTGCCATTGTATTTTGATGAATAATTTACCATTATACTATTGCAAAGTATTATGCATGGTACACTGAGAGCTTTATAATACATCAGAGAGAGAGGGAGAGAGAGAGAGAGGAGTGGAAGAGAAATAGAGCAATGAAGTGATTGAGAGAGTGTGCATGTCAAATGAGTATTTGAAGATAGCGAGAGAAATTATTTTGATGAATAAAATGGATGAAGGGGGGAGTGGGGAGTGAAAGGGATGAAAATCCCCATTATATTTTGATGAATAATCTACTATTATACCAATGCAAAGTATTATGCATGTTACACTAAGAGCTTTATAATACATCAGAGAGAGAGAGAGAGAGAGAGAGAGAGAGAGAGAGAGAGAGAGAGAGGGGGGGGGGGGGAGGGAGAGAGAGAGAGATAGAGTGATGAAGTGATTGAGAGAGTGTGCATGTCAAATGAGTATTTGAAGATAGAGAGAGAGAGAGAGAAATTATTTTTGGTGCTCAAATTTTCCCTATGGATAAGTTTAAAAAAAAGCGGATGGAATATTCTTTTCTTTGTTGGTATAGAACATTCAAAATGAGCCATATATTTCTCCACTTGTGCTATGTTCTGGGTTTTGATAAAACTAGTTCTATTTGATTTGATGCTTTGATTCTAATTGTCTTTCTTAATCTTTCTATCTCTTATCGTTGTTTGATTGTAGGCTATATAATAGGATGAGGTTTTAGAGTTGAACTTGAATATTTTTCTTCAACCAATGTTTAACACACATTTTGTTCGGCTATTATAGAAAATCAATTAGCATTACTATAGGAGATCAACTTCACGCAATTGCTGGAGATTAATATTATGGTGTTGTGGAAGATCAATGCTATAGCGCATCATGAGAAAAATCAAATACGTGTTTAGAGGGTTTGGTGGTGTAGTTTGAGATGTGCGTAGGTGTGTGAAAGTAGCCAATACTATGATGCAATGATTGCAATGCTTTGTAGGAGACAAATACCTTTTCTAGTAGATACATAATCATATTTGCAAGAAAAAGAAAGGTCTTTTTTATAATTAAATTGTAAGCTTTTATAGAAAATTCTTATTTTAAAAAAATATTTTTTGAAGAAATTATGGTGCTTCCGTTTACCTATAGTGAAAATTTTGATTTATGTGATTATGGATGTAGATGAGTTACATATGTTGAATAATGTAATTTTTGTTCCTATTGTGTTGCACTATTTTTCTTTATTGATTTCTTTTATATTATTCTTATTATATAGCCAACTATCAGATCCCAAGAGAAAAGTGGGAGCAATGATAACGGGGGGCTGGAAAGTGAAAACTGAAAAATTAGATATGAATAATTTTGGATACTGTAATGTATAGATTAATTTTTTTTTTTTATATCATAGGAAGATTCATTTGTTATTGTTATAGAGAATGTCAACATCTATGAGCTAGGAGATTGAGACTTCCTTTCTATCCCGTCAGGGTTTGCACTTCTTTCACTTTGTAAGAATTTCGCCTTTACATATTGCATGAGAGGACGACCGTTAGAGTGATTTAATGCTCTTTCTAGTATATTTGAAAACAATTTATAATGATAGAAAATATTTAACAAGTTAATCTGATATCAGATGGCACCTCTATAAAACTATAGGACAAATTAATGAATTAAACTTGACAATGTCAAATAGGTTCAATGGATATTACCTTTCATGATAAATCTTATTTCTTGAGTTTATTGTTGATATTATTTAAGAGTTGCAGTGACTATGAAAATGTCAATAGCTTCTATGGGCTATGGGTGCTTGAAGCTGAAGCTTGCTGATGTTAGAAATTTGAGCTTAGGTTTTATGTGAAAGATTCAAGCCTAAGTGAAGATATCTCATAATGAGAATCATGTGGAGTCTTTTCTCTAATTTAAATGTTTATGTCAGAGGATGAACTCCATAAATGGAGATGGTGAAGGGAGATCCATATTTGAAAGGGGATTAAATACAAACGTCAAAAGATAAGTCAGTACAAAATGTGGCATTGATAAATGCTAGCAATACACAAAGGTTGTACATATACCAAAAGATGTCATATAGTTAAAAGTGGATGAAGTTCGAAAGGTAAGACTTGGTAGGTCCCAATTATAAAAAATAGTTCACGACACTTCAATCTTTAAGGTCAGCGGTTCACGAAGTATTTGATCTTGTATTCTTGTGATTTTCACTCTACATATTTCACATTAGCAACTGAATAACTATTTTACGAAGAATGATTAGAAGGTGCATCTTGCTAATGACAAGCTTTTAAGAAATTTAGGATGATGATGTTTGAATTAACATCGGAAATGGGATTATATGAAAGCTTCCCAGGGAGAGTTATTCTATATGTGACATCCTTTAGGGAACTTGATGAAGAAGATTGTAACTCAACTTTCATCAATGACATCTAAAAAATAATACAAGATGGTATAATGATAACACAGGGCAAGGAAATGAGACCCATCAAAAGTTGTAATGCTGAAACAGTGGGAAGATCACAAACCTAAACGTGGATTGATACACGTGGATAAGAGCAAGGAGTAAGAAAGTGATGTTGATTAGAAATTTACTAGTTCAAATTCTTAATTTGAAAATTTTCATTTTATACTATTTTATTGGGCTTATTCTATTAAAAATGATCTTAACTTACTAGAACTAAATGAAAATATGACACTAAATAGGACACAATGGAGAAAAAGGATTCATGTAGCCAACCCCACGTAGTGGGATTAAGGCTTTGTTGTTGTTCTTGTTGTTGTTGTATACTATTTTATTGGAAAACAAAGCAGCATTGTTTTGTTAGAAGGCTTAAAATGAAAACAAAATGGAGAAATCAAAGTTTGCTTGCATCGATATTTGGGGACCATACCTGTTAACATCCATTAGCGGCTCATTTTACAATGCCACTCTCAACTTTAGTAGTTTTTTTAGTCTTTAGGCTTGTATTAAGGTGCTTTTTTAACTTTACACACTATACATTAGCAACTAATGCCTAATTATCTGCGGAGAATCATAGGAAGCTCTATCTTGCTAATGATGAATTCTCAAGCAATGCAAGAAATGGAGATGTTTAAATTAAACATGTTAATGGGACTATATGAAAGCTTCACAAAGTGAGACTTTATTCTAAACATTTAGAGGTGTTTGATATCTGTTAGAGAACGCAATGAAGAAGGGTGTAACTTGAATTTCAACATAAGCATTTGAAAATAAACAATGGGTGGCATGATGATAACACAGAACAAAAAATGACACTAATCATAAATATTTAACAATGGGACGATTGAAAGCACAACAAACCTAAACATGGATTTATAAATATGGCTAAGATCTGAAAGTGAGAAAGTCATAATTATTAGACATTTAAAAGTTTGATTTCTTAATTCAAAGTTTTTTTCTTTTGAACTTTATTATTGGAAAACAAAGGAAAACGATTTTTTTAAAAGTCAGAAATGAGGGCAAAATTGAGAAGGCAGAGTTTACTTGCATCTTTGTTTGGGGATCATACCTCATGGCATCCATTAGTGGCGTATTTTGCAATGCCACTTTTATCAATGACTGCAAAAATCTATAGCTTTATTTTTTTGGAACATAAAATTGATTTTTTTTTCTATTTTAAAATGAATAAAAGTCTGATATAAAATGAGTTTGGTGCAATATATCTATGGAGAGACAATGAATGAGATTATAACATTAAGAAGTTTAGAATGCTTATATTTCAAATGGGATTGTGTGGAGAGTGTATTTAGTAACACATCACAACAAAATCGGACTGTTTAGCATATAAACCTGTTCTTGAG